TTGTTTGTTTGGGGTTTTGATTGTGTGTCTGAAAAAGTACACTGACGACGAAGCGGGTGACTAACCATCGTCACTTGGATATAAAGGCGGGTAAACCTCATTGTTGGTCTTTGCACGGAATGTGAGGCAGGTAAATGTATTTAAATTTTAGTCAAATTAACATTCAACGATTATCAGTGGAACTTTAGGAACTTTTTATTCCTAGTATTATTAGTTCAAATTGCCGGATGTCTTAAGTTACTCATTCCTTTTCGTTGTACATGCACACACATGCATGTACATGTACATGTACATGATGTGCAGTGTTTCTGCCTACATAGGGCATGGACATGGTAAAGCCAACACGCATACTCGATTTGTACTGTTGTTAGTGAAAGTTTCTCAGTGTTACAGAAGTTAACAGGACCATGGTTCTAAGATATTACTCATAGTTTACTGTCATCATTGTAGGAATCAAACCCAGATGCATGACTAAGATTTTTCTTTTCAAGTGTATAAGCCCTGTCTCATGGATAGTTCGATAGACAAGAAGAGACAAGTAGAGACACGCAGACTAATTTTAACAATTCAATCCTATTCGGTGTTTAAGTTATTCCTTACTCTTTAGAGATTTGACATTCACGTTCAACGGTACAATTCAACAAGCGATCCAGCTGACTATAGCCGTCAATCGCAACCTTTCCAGTCACTGTTGTTGAATAGAGTCACAGTAAAACACATTGCCAAGACTTATGTTCCGACTGTCTTCACTGAAACAATAGGCGACGTGTCTCCACAAAGTAGTAAACCTCTCCATTTATACATCATGAGCAAAGGCGCCTTTTTTTTCTCAGGCCCTGTAAATGAAAAAAAATTGTGTTGCGCTTTTTTACAAAATTGTTTTAACTTCCGCATACCGCGTACGCCCTTTTGGTTCCCACCTTTACGGCGGTAACACCGTGCAAACAATTTTCTTTTATCAGTACTGGTATGTAGTTCTGAAAAAAAGAGGTTCTGTTACGGCCCATAATATATGGAACGCCAAATGTACCAATTTATGATGTTACTTAATAAATATTGCTTGATGATGCCAATCCGTTATGTGAAGTTCATCATTCACTATGTGAAATTCTCTATCTATTGTGTGAAGTTCTCTATCCATTATGTGATGCTGTCAGCCCATGATGTGAGTTGTCAATCTGTTATGTGAAGTTCTCGATCCATGTTGTAATGTTGTCAATCTTTGATATCAAGATGAAGTGGCTACTCAGCAATTGGTTTTGTGTATAGATATATAACGATACAATTCGTATTTCAATTATCATAAAGATG